TGAGGCATTTCAAAGTTCAAAGGAAAACTTGGTTGGGGAAGAGAGCCAGAGGCCTCTGTATGCTCCCCTAAGCTGCAGCCCCTGTCCCATCCCAGGCCAGCATGGCTTCCCCAGGACACATGGGCTTGAGGACAGAGCTGACACTTGACTGGGACCCTCACAGGGCAGAGGGATCAGGTCAGGGTGTGGGCCAAGGCCAGGCAGAAAAGAACCCAGTTAAGGTTAACAGAAACATCCACAGGCACACACTCAGGCCTCAGCCACGTGTTTGGCTGCTGGTTAATGGGTTCAGTGAGAGACAATGTAGGCCAGGGGCTCTGCACCCAGGAGCTCCCAGAGTGGTAGGGAGATAGGCTGGATGCAGCCTGGATATTCATGGTGCTCAGAGAGATGATGTGGATTCTGCCAAAGTATGACTTTTGAGTATATCCTATCTGAATTTAGAGACCACTTCAAAAATAGATTTGACACATTGAACACTAATGACTGAACATCAGACAATTTGTGGGATAACATCAAGAACATCATACACAAAGGCAAAAGGTCATTAAAAAGACAGTAAAGGAAGAAAAGACCAAAAATGGATGTCAGAAGACACTCTGAAACTTGTTCAATAATGAAAAGTAGCTAAAACAAATGGAAGAAATGATAAAGTAAAAGAGCTGAAACGGTTTAAAGGGTGGCTTGAGAAGACAAAGTATTATAATGAAACGTGTAAAGACTTGGAGTTAGAAAATCAGAAGGGAAGAAAGAACACACTTGCCATTTCTCAAGCTGAAAGTACTGAAGGAAAAAAAATCCAAGCTTTGAGTTGCAATATTGAAGGATTCTATGGGCAAAATATTGAATAACACAGGAAGCATCAAAAGAAGATGGAAGGAATATACAGGGTCACTGTAGCAAAAAGAATTGGTCAGTGCTCAACCATTTCAGGAGGTAGCATATGATCAAGAACCAAGAAGTCTAAGCTGCACTGAAGGAATTGGCGAAAAACAAGGCTGCAGGAATTAATGGAATACCAACTGAGATGTTTCAGCAAATGGATGCAATGCTGGAAGTGCTCACTCATCTATG